TATATATATATATATATATAATAATAATAATAATAATAATAATATATATATATATATATAATATATATATATATATATATATATATATATATATATATATATGGATAGATTTTTTTTCCTAACTAACGAAAAGTTTTTGTTTAATTAAAGTAAGATTTAAATTTTAATAATTTTTAAAATTTATTTCTTTCCGATTTTTTTTCTTCCAAATTTTAAAATTCAATTTTTTTATAAAAATTATTTTAACAATTAAAAGATTTGTGATGTAACATATATATATATATATATATATATATGTATATAAACATGTGTGATATATGTTTTGTTTGTGTATTGTGAAACTATGACAACATACCAATAATGTTTGTGTGTGTATGTGTGTGTGTATGTGTGTATATAAACTTTCGTGTTTTACTTTTTTTTTTTTAAAGAGAGAAAAGAAAAAAAGTTGCAGGAAGGATAAGAATTAATTAATTAATGCTAATTAAAAAACTTGAAGAGGTTATGAAATGTTTACAACAAATCGATAATGCTTATGTGGTATACACCTTATTTTATTTTTACTTTCCTTGCTATTATTTATACTTACCTTGTTATTATTTATCCCTATATTATCTTATAATTATTTATACTTATTATTAGTGCTTACCTTATTTATACTTACGCTATTATTACATATACTTACTTTATTATTATTTAAATATACCTTGTTTGTATATTTAAATTATTATTATTTTTACTTCTAATTTTGTTATTATTATATTAGGACTAAATAGAGCATATCAAAATTCATATATGGTTAATATGAGAGAAAAATATTTGCTTATTTTAATTGATTATTGATTAATTTTGCAGAAATACTTATCGTTAATTAATTAATTTATTAATTTTGTAGTATTATTGGTCATTTATATTGCCCTATTCTCAATAATTATTTATTATTTATCCATTCAAATAATGCTATTAGTATGCAAATTATCAAAACAATTTTACTGAATATATATATATATATATGCTCATTTGGTTGTATAAATTTTTAAACAATATTTTGGGTAAATTTGAAACATTTTTTTCTTTGGAATAAAACAACTTAAAATATGAAATTTCTGTTGAAAATATCAAATTTATTTGTTTCAATTTTGTTATTCCTTGCTGAATTTCAATTTTATCACTCTTCGTTGAGTTTCAATTTCATTTTTCTCTATTAAATTTCAATTTCGTTATTCTTTTATTAAGTTTGAATTTCTTTTATTCTTTGTTAACTTTCAATTTTGTTATTCCTTATTAAATTTCAATTTCATTACTGTTTGTTAAGTTTCAATTTTGTTATTTTTTATTAAATTTCATCCTCATTATCAAATATTACTGGAAAAAAATAAAGATGAATTAATAATAAATGTTAAATAAACTTTCCTTCTTGTCTATGATATTTAATTTAATATCTATTTACAACTTTATTCCTCATCGATTTACTTAATTTAACCATTTCAATCTACCTTCATATTATATTTACTTTCTTAATTCGTTCTCATTTAATCTTTAATTACAATTCTTTTAACGATTTAATTAAGACATTTAATCAATTGATTTTGTACAATTTTTCCTGAGCGAAACAGATCAATCGGATATATTTGATATATCTTTGTGTCATACTTAAGAGTTTCATGCATCTGTACTCGAAATATTTTTATTGAAATTAATTATATTTTCTTCTTTTCAAGTTATCAAGTTCGAAAATTTACATTTTATGATAGGTTTTACAAATAATTAGCTCAATTGTACTGTTATACTCATTTTATTCGTCAACTTTTTGATATTCTTTAATGTACTTAAAAAATTGACATAATTCATTTTATTTCATTTATTAATTTATTTTTCTTTCAATAATTTCAATTATAACTATTCCTAGGCACATTACATGAACTTCTTTTTTTCCCATATTAATTACAATAAATTTTAAGAAATAAATGGCCAAAATGAGACCAGCTAAATAGCCTAGGATAAATAGTCTAGCTTGGCTTTATTATGCTTAGTCTATTTGTAATCTTGGATCATTAGCAGTAAACACCCAAGCATTTTAGATTTTAGTTATATTAGAAAATTCATTGCTACATCAAAATGATCAAATAATTTTTAAACAAATTGACGTTTTATAGGGCGTGCGGATTGCCGGATGGCGATGCCGCCGACATCCGCAGCCGGAAAATTTGATCATAATCCTTCAAACATTGATAATGTAAGTCTTATATTTGAAAAGGTTTTGATTAAAAAAAAAAAATGGTCGAAATACTTACTTTTATATTTAGAAATATATAAATGAAACTTTTTTTTCCTTAAAATAATACCATTGTATTCAAGTATGTTTGTATATTTTATATTATTTTTTTTAATAATTTTTATACGACGAAATCTTTATTAAATTAAAGTAATAAAATTTAATTTTCAAGAATTTAATGAATTCTTTGAAAAATTTTTATTAACTTTCAAGTATTATCATTTTCATATTCATCAATAAATGTTATAGATAAATTTACGGTTGATATTAGTAAGTGGAAAAACAAAGGAATTTCAATTAGCATCAAATTCTTCAGCGCTTGATATTACCCAATATGTATTTGATCATTGGCCTGATGGTTTGTTTGAATTTTTTGATTTTTTTTAAATTAATCAATTTTATATATAATAAGCTAATTTTACATTTTTCATAGTATTATTTAAGCTATCAATTAATTTATCATTATAAATTATAATTTTCATCCTTTTGATATGATTTATTTGTAAAAATATGTATTAAATAATTAATTTTGCAACATTAATTAATTCATTCATTAATGCAAACATAATATTGCATGTTTATTTATTAAAGTATACTAATGATAATATTGTTATATAAATAATAATAATAAATAATAATAATAA